GCAGTGGATATAGACGCCAGAAGCTCAATTCAGGGATGGATGATAATAATAATAATAATAATAATAATAATAATAATAATAATTTATTTATACCCCACCCACCCATCTGGCTAGGTTTCCCCAGCCACTCTGGGTGGCTTCCAACAAAATATTAAAAATACAATAAAACATCAGACATTAAAAACTTCCCTAAACAGGGCTGCCTTCAGATGTCTTCTAAAAGTCAGATAGTTGTTTATTTCCTTGACATCTGAGGCTGTTTAGGAGAGCGTGCTGGGGAATACAGAAATTTACTTGGAAGCAGTGAGCAGGACCAAAGGAGGAGCAGCTGGGTCAGGTGGCTTGCACCCCTTTCTCTCACAGTATAGGCTTCAGTGTGTGACAGCAGAGCTTGCAGGCCTACATTAATTATTATAATTAGGGTGCTTCTTTCTCTAAAGTTTCCAAATCAGTTTTGGTGCCCTTTAACGGTTTTCTTTCTTTTAATGCCATTAGGTGGACTGACTTAAGGGAGTTTTTTTAAAAAAAAACACACCACTTATTGTTGCTATCTTTGCTAATATTGAGCAGAGAGACTGGTATTTCAGGGGAAATCCCGTAAATCTTGGGGGGACCCCTTCAATAAAGCCTAATCATTCTGAGACACAAATATAGAAAACCTGGGGGGAAATCCCCAGACAGATGATTTTTTGCTAGCTAGGGGGCAGCACTTGTATGTGTGGAGAGGTCACCAAAGCTTGTTATTTTTCCTTCCTGTGTTTCTTCCTGTCTGTGTGAGTAGGGAGGAAGACAGCTGTTAGAGGAAAGGGTTTCTGGGTCCAGGTCAGTAGGACCTTACTTAAATCTACTTTTCTGGTCTATGATTGTAGAGCTGTGAAACAGACACAGAGCAGAGTTGGGTTTGGTCTGTCCATCTGCAGTTGGTGTTTGCATTAAGAGTTAACCGTCCGCCTGGTTGGCTTCTGCATGTGGAATAAAGGGGCATCACCCCCTTTTGCCCCTTGCTTTAGGCAGCAAAATGCCTTGGGATGGCCCTGCTGCAGGCAAGGAACTGCTCTGCCTTCAGGAAGGGGACACCCACTGTGGATGGAGTTAAAAGGCAAAGTGGAGAGTCAGGAAGGATCACATTTGTGTTGGAAGCAAAAGCCATCTAAATCATCAAGAGACCAGCTTGGATGGCCACCGAGAGATTTTGTCAAGGGTTTTAGACAACTAAAATCAATTCATCCACTTTATCTGTTTTGAACATACTGGAGAGGCAGCTAAAGATGTCACAAATGGTTAGAGTTGCCTGGAAACCTTCAAGGTGTCAATTGACTGTATTTTTAGGTACAGGAATGTTACATGGACATGCCAGTTTCACCAGTGATTTGGAAGGGAAAAAAGACTAAAAACAAAACAAATGGACTTGGCAATATGCAAGGGAATAAAAATATCATGAGAGTGAAGCTGAGTTGAAGCAGGGTAACTCAAAATCAATATTTTGCTTTTAAACTCTTAAGGGGAGGCCCAGGAGGGCTGCACTCATTTTGTCCTCCTTACTTATTATCCTCAGAGGATTGGCTGAAAAGTGTCAAGATGACTCCATACTTACAGCTAGGACATTCCTCGCTGACAAGCCACTTGTTAGACTATTTGGCTGCTGCTTCACGCCCCTAGCATGGGGTTTGTGCAGAGGATAAAATAAACAAAACAAAGCCCCAAACTTGGAACAGGTGGAATGTGCCCAATACAGTGGTATCTCTGGTTACGAACTTAATTTGTTCCAGAGATCCGTTCTTAACCTGAAAATGTTCTTAACCTGAGGTACCACTTTAGCTAATGGGGCCTCCCGCTTCCGCCGCGCCGACAGCACACAATTTCTGTTTTCATCCTGAGGTAAAGTTCTTAACCTGAGGTACTACTTCCAGGTTAGTGGAGTCTGTAACCTGAAGCGTCTGTAACCCGAGGTATTTGTAACCTGAGGTACCACTGTATGACATTTCAAGCACACTTCTCCCTTCTTTCCTGCCTACGCTTGCATCAAACAAATATCTTAGTTATTGTGGCCACTCGGACTTAATTTGGATGGTTGCCCATGGCCTATCCATGGACTACGAATGACTGATTTTTGGCGCGTTTTACATGCTACGTGAACAGTTTCTTATACAAGGAGTATACCGTAATTTGGCAGAGGGACGTTATGCAACAACATGGCCACCATTTCTGTAAATTTTAAAACAGAAACCAAAGCAAATGATCACGGTACTACCAGGAACATTCATCCACTGAATGTCTGGGCAAACAGGAATGTTTTCAAATTTCTAGTGAAAGTTAATAATGAGAAAGAGAGGTGCACCTCACTAGTGGGGGGGGCATTCCACAACACAGGAACCACAACTAAAAAGACCCTGTTATGGGACAGTGCCAATCTTTTTGGCTTCACTGGCCAGATCTTTTTCAGGCCAAATTGCAGCCCGGCCAAATTTTAGTGTTGGATGCATTATGCCAAATGACTGGCTTGTGGATGGTCCCGTCCACCTTTTGAAATCCCTAGTGCAGTGTTTAAAGGTAAAGGTAAAGTAAAGGACCCCTGGACAGTTAAGTCCAGTCTAAGGTGACTAAGGGGTTGCGGCGCTCATCTTGCTTTCAGGCCTTGGGAGCCGGCGTTTGTCCACAGACAGCTTTCCGGTTCATGTGGCCAGTATGACTAAACTGCTTCTGGTGCAACAGAACACCGTGATGGAAGCCAGAGCGCACGAAAATGCCATTTACCTTCCCGCTGCAGTGGTACCTATTTATCTACTCGCACTGGTATGCTTTCAAACTGCTAGGTTGGCAGGAGCTGGGACAGAGCAATGGGAGCTCACTCTGTCTTGGGGATTCGAACCGCCAACCTTCCGATCGGCAAGCTCAAGAGGCTCAGTGGTTTAGACCACAGCGCCACCTTCTAGTGTTTAAAGGAGGATGCTTCAAACAGTGATTTTGCACTTTAACCAGCCTCAAATGGAGGCATCAGAGTGGAATGTGGGGCCTGGCTTAAAGCCCCTGGAAAAAAGTGTTCTTTGAAGCACTTCTATTGGTGGCGAGCAGTGGTGTGGGAGAGGAGAAAGACATATGCATTGAGCATAACAACCCAGTGAGGTTGGCTAGGCTGAGAGACTGTGATGGGCTCAAGGTCACCTCAATGGCTGAATAGGGATTTCAACCCTGGTCTCAAAGGTCTTAGTCCAACATTCTAACCACTACACCACACTCATACCTAAAGTGACCACCAACAATTTGAAAGGCATGTGCATTGACAGCTACAGAATAAAATCTTTTAATTTCCCAGGAGACAATGTGTGTTCCGGATGTTATCCTTCATGAGGTCTATTATTATTATTATTATTATTATTATTATTATTATTATTATTATTGTACCATCCTATACTCGGGGGTCTCAGGGCAGTTCACAGAATAAAATCAAGATATAAAACTACAAAATACCTTATAAAAATAAAAACAACAACCCAATAGCCCCCCCAAAAAAACACGTTTTAAAAGGGCATCGTATCAACCAAAGGCCTGGTTAAAAAGGAACATTTTTGCCTGGCTCCTAAAGATGTATAATAAAGGTGCCAAGCGAACTTCCCTTGGGAGAGCATTCCACAGACAGGGAGCCACTGCAGAGAAGTCCCATTCTCATGTTGCCACCCTCCGAACCTCTCGAGGAGGGGGCACATGAAGGAGGGCCTCAGAAGATGATCTCAGGATCCGGGTAGGTTCATATGGAAAGAGGTGGTCCTTGGGGTATTGCGGTCTTGAGCCGTTTAACGGTTTATAGGTCAAAACCAGCATTATCATTACCATTTCACTGCTGGATCTGTATCTAAGTGTTTCTTTTTGCGGCTGTGATCCTACAAGCAGCAATGAGAAGACCATCACAGGAGATTTTTGATAGGCATGTGTGGCAGTTTGAACCAGTTTCAGACCTCTAGTTATAACTCAATCTATTCTTTATTCCACCCCAACGGTATTTGTTTCTGAGAGCAAAAAACAAACAAACAAAAAACACCTCCCCAAATACAATCTTCAATTTTTTTAGTAGAAACAAAGAGGATCAAACAAGAAAAATACTACATCAGCCACCCATTCCCTTTCTTACTCATTTCCCCCTACCTAACATATATGGTATGTAAAGAAAAAAGCAATTCGCCACAGCACTGCAACTTTAAATTACTGCTTTAAGTCCCTGCAAAGAGTAATAATTTCACAAGTGGAATCATGTCAATTGAACAGCCATCAGCAAGGATTGGGTGTGCCAGGACCTGTCTATGAGTTTGTCAACCCCTAGTAATTGAACCTCATTAACTTCAATTGATTGACTCATATATGGGATTTCAGAAATGTGTTAGTTCAGTTTTTAATCTCACATTGGAAACTGCTTCCCCCCCCCCTTGAATTTGTGTGTGTTCTGGGTGGGTGGGTGTTATAGACAGTAAAATAGATATATTTATCATCTTTACTGTTCACATCATGTGTCTGATAGCATAATTTTTTGTGTATGAAAGCTCACCCCAAGATAATTTAGTTAGCCTTTTAAGGTGTTGTTTTAACAGTACAGTAATAGAACAGGTGTTGCTCTAACAGTGCAGCAATCGACTGAACCATGCAAACCTTTAATAAGGTTAGATAAGTGAGAACGTACACATGATGGAGCTTCTATGTTCAGGGACGATAGGGGTGTTCACATGTTACATTCAATGAATGTACAATCTGTGAACATAAATGGTTGAGCAGCACAAATCAGTGTATACTCTTTCACACAAACACACGGCTGTCTACCTGTGTAGAAACAGCTTGTGCCTGTATTAACTGCAGCTTGTGTACAACCTAATATGTTCCTGAAAACCAGTGGCTATGGAACAACAGAGAGGGAAGCCTGGGTCTTTCATACCCTACTTGTGGGCTTTGGGGAGGCATCTGGTTGGTGTCTGTGAGAAGGAAGATAGAATAGATTAGGGTTTCCCAAATTTGGGTCTCCAGCTGGTTTTGGAATACAGTTCCCATCATCCCTGACCACTGGTCTTCTGGTTAGATAGGGATGATGGGAGCTGTAGTCCAAAAACAGCTAGAGACCCAAATTTGGAAAATCCTGGAATAGATGGACCTTTGATCTTACCTCGCAGGGCTCTTCATATGTTCTTGCTTATCTACTGTATATTTTGGAAAGTGATTTGTCTGTCTGTCCATCTGTTCTCTATGGTTTTGGCCGCGTCTTGAGATATGATTGCCAAACTTGGCATGAAGGTTTCTGAATCAAGATGCTGGACCGAAACATGACTTTGGTGTGACTTCACCCAATTTTTGGCACGAGGGGTCCAAACTACATTGATATGGACACCTCTGAAGATATTGTTGCCCCATCTGGTGGCACTTCACCCGTTTTTGTGTGAGAGTGCCAACCTGCATCAATTTGGATGCCTCTGAAGATCCTGTTGCCCAACTCAGGTTGAGAGTCTTAAGCTGCAGGAGGTGGTCTTGGGCTATGCTTGGACAACGGACACCATGTTGAATTCAGATGGTGGACCAAAATAACCCTAATGAAATATGAACTCCTCCCCCACACCAAAAAAATATTAATATTAAAATTGATTTGAGGTCAGGCCAGGTGTTCCCTGGATCAGATCGAAGCCCTGGGTGGGTGTGAGCATGTGCAGGCCTGAAACTCATAAATCACACTATTCATATACAAATCATAATTTTTTTTGTTTCTTTAAATTCACTGGTGGTATCAGGGCTTTCTACTAGTCCACTATACTATATATTTTGGAAAGATATTTGTCTGTCTGTTTGCTACATGTTAGGACTTTTCTTTAGATACTGAAACCAAATTTTGTACAGTGGTACCTTGGGTTACATACGCTTGAGGTTACATACGTTTCAGGTTACAGACTTGGGTTAAGAACTTTGCTTCAGGATGAGAACAGAAATCGCGCAGCAGCGGCACGGCAGCAGCAGGAGGCCCCATTAGCTAAAGTGGTGCTTCAGGTTAAGAACAGTTTCAGGTTAAGAACAGAATGAATTAAGTTCTTAGCCCGAGGTGCCACTGTATGATTATTCCCAAGATCAAGGAGCCAGGATTTCAGCCATGTTTGGATGCATCTGGGTGCCATTTTGAATCAAGACTACAAAACTGCTCAGATTTTTGTTTGTTTGTTTAGAATTCTTGAGCAATACTGGGCACAAGGTTACTATAAAAGATGAGATTATTTGTAGAGCTATTCATATTTTTTAAGAAAACAGGCTCCAGTTCATATGTTTGCCTCTTTAACATAGAAGAGTGGCTACAGTGGCTGTTGTTCCCCCAAGCAAGTGCAAAACTATACTATAGCAGGATGTTTCATCTCATCTCTCAAAGAAATCTGTTCATTTGATGATAATTCAATAGTTTTCTCTTTCATTTTTGGTCTGACTGTGTGCATGAGGATCTCAGTGCAAGAAGATGGGCTGGGATGAACTTTGAGACACCTTCTGTTTACAGGGGTGGCACTGTGGGTTAAACCACAGAGGCTAGGGCTTGCTGATCAGAAGGTTGGCGGTTCAAATCCCTGCAACGGGGTGAGCTCCCGTTGCTCGGTCCCTGCTCCTGCCAACCTAGCAGTTCAAAAGCACGGCAAAGTGCAAGTAGATAAATAGGTACCACTCTGGCGGGAAAGTGAACAGTGTTTCCGTGCGCTGCTCTGGTTCGCCAGAAGCGGCTTAGTCATGCTGGCCACATGACCTGGAAGCTGTATGCCGGCTCCCTCGGCCAGTAAAGCGAGATAAGCGCCGCAACCCTAGAGTCGTCTGTGACTGGACCTAACGGTCAGGGGTCCCTTTACCTTTATAAAGTCATAGAGCTGGGTTGCTGCCAGACTGCCTCTGTCTTGCGGGAATGATTCAAGTGCGTGCTGGAACTGAAGTGGATGGCTTCTGTTGGGCAATTGGCAGGGAAATGCACTAAAAAGTATGGGATGAAAGAATGATTAGTAGTAGGAAGATATGTAAAACCCCCACAAGGAAATCAGGGTGAATGCAGGACATATGCTCATTGTCATATAACTGTCCCATAAATGAATTTGAATGAATGCTCCATAAAGACTGGACATAGTCTGACCAGTGCAGTAGCTTTGTGCAAGTAAACCAGAATGAATGCTGTTTAAACAGGTCATCTGGAAATGCCCTCAGAAAGGCCCGAAGTCTACCCCTCATCTGTTTAACTGTGCTGTATGGGATATTGCTATGCAGACACTGTATCACGGCCTACTCTAAAAATAAACTGTGGCTGGCAAACAGTTTTTTAATAGTTTGTGTGGAATGTCATCAGCTGAAAGATATCCAAAAACATTTGCTGTACTTAAAATCTTACAAAGGGTCACACAGGTGATTGCAAAAACATTTTCTTTCTAGATCTGTTCCCCGGACAAAGCTTTTAAGCCTACAGGTATTAAAAACTCTAAAAAAGAATACAGTGCGTGTGTTTTGTGTGTGTGTGTGTGTGTGTGTGTGTGTGTGTGTGTGTGTGTGTGTATATATATATATATATATATATATATATATATATATATATATATTACGGTTTATATAGTTAACCATATTCCTAATCTCCCATTATTCATTTTCATGCTCTCCTATACTAGAATACTAGCTTTTACATCTATTCAATTTAGCATGTAAGGTAAAATTGTATAGAAAGTAAGTTTTTGCATAAGGGAATTAATCTAGAGATTCTTAAAAACCACAAAAAACACAAGTAACCTGAAGAAGAAGAAGAAATGGTAGGCAAAAAGTCTATGTGCAGTAAGTTGTGGTAGAATTGATATCTTCTCTGAAGGGTTTTATAAATAAAATAAATATAAAAAGACAAGTAACTTTCTCACCTAATTTGCTTGCAGAACTGATAATTAAGTGTTGCTGGCTGCATCACATTTGTGATACTTGATATTGTGTCTCTGCATATTTAGAGGCTAAAATCGTTTTGCTTTTTTGCTGAGTAAAACATCCATTTCATGGACGCTTTCCGCCCACGGACAACGTCTAGCTCCTGTCTTATAATTTACCCTCCAATGGAGAAACCTCCCATTTGGGTTAACGTTCTCCCATGTCCCAAATTTAAAGGGAATTCTGACATCCTCATACAACACTTGGGAGTAAAATCAGAGGTCACTGATCTGCAGGTGCACATGTGCCAACAGACACCTTTGCTGGAACCCGCAGAGTCTCCCCTCCTTGGATGAAATTAGGCTTAAAAGAAGCATTCCCTTGTAGGTTGTGGTGAGTGCTTTGTTGCAGTGTGTGTGTGTGTGTGTGTGTACGTACACACACACACACACACACACACACACACACACACACACACGGTGCTCATAACAGTCTTACCTGTTTGCAAATCTGTTGTGGGCCAAAAAGAAGATTGGCACTTCCCAAACTTAAGGCTACAAACTGTCTCTGTTAATAACAGAAATCATAATAAACGTAGGATGGTGGTCAAAAGGAAGTTTCCAACTATTTGTAGATTGTTTTGTGGGCAGCTGGTTCCAAGATGCAAGCTACAATAGATGAAAGATAATGACAGGAAGGGGATTCAGACCAATAAATCACTTTTTGAGGGGCCAACAAAAGCATTAGGATGGCTTCTTTCTATTAAGACAAACTTTCAAAAGATTTCTATTTAGCCCACTGCTATTCAGTGCTTGGCAGTGTAGGACTGTTTCTCTCCCCGCCCCGCTCAGTTGTGTATATGTAAGGAGGTCCAGAGGGGAAACATCTATTTTGCGAAGACATTTTTTTCTCAGAATCTATGGCTCTGATTTGACTGAGCAACACAGAAGCATTAGAGGCCTGTAGTTCTCCTGCCGCACACTTCTGATGCCAACCCAACACTGAGAACTGTGCAGTGCACTCTGCCCTCCTTCTGAGTAGGTGCTTATTCTTTTCCATCAAAGAGCTTTCCAGCAACTATCTGGACGATAGCTGCTCAAATCCAGAGACGCAAGGCAGTTCTCTGAACATTCTGCAAAACGTTGTGCAAACGGATCTGCTTCCCTCCTTACTGCTGGTAAGTCCAACATCACCGCTTGTTCAGTAAACACCTCCTCTTACCTGTTCCTAGAGTGCCCTCGGGTTTTCCTTCACACGCTTCTTCCTGAGTTCACCATTTCCGGTTTGTGACACATCTTTGCTCCAGTTCAGCTCCTTATCTTTCGCCTCATCTTTAGACATGGATTTCAGTCACTCTCTTCTTGAAATGCCTCATCAATGCCAACAGCATTCTAGAATTGAAACATGCTGGTTGTTGCACCGTCCATGATTAGTTAGTCCATTTTTAGTACCACTGATTGGTTGGTTGTATTTACAGACCATCATTTTCTCCAAGGGGCTCAAGGTGGGGTCTGAGTGGGCGCTTGAACCCTGATCTCCCCGGTCCTAGTCTGACACTCTAATCACTATGCCACCCTGGCTCTGGACATGTGTGAAGGATCCAAGAACAGTCAGAGCATTCCCAGAAATAAAATCTAGCTCAAAATGTCAGTGTGACCACATCCTCAAGTTACTGCCTACAAGGAACCCTCCAGCAAAGGTCAGAGGTAACGTTACATAATCTCACATGAGCTAACAGCTATTCTTGCTTAATATTATTACCCCACATTACCTTATCTTGTTGTGAGTCAGCAAAAGTACAAAGGCATTATCATTGCACAATCTGGCATGATGTGCTATAGAATGAAGTTCTATCACAGCATCTTGGTTCAGCAGAATTATATCTGGCCCTGATCACTTCTTTTATTTTTGCTGATAAATGGCTTAGACGTTTCCCATTTAGTATTGTATTGGCTGAATTGGTCATACTATTTTTTTACCTTGTTAAAAAATGTGGGCAATTCATTTAACCCAACTCCAATTATGTGTGCAAAAATAAATAAAAAGAATGCTCACATTGAACAACTTATTTTAGCAGGTCAGTAAATTTGGCCCATAAATAAAAACAGAGGCAACAGTCATTTGCGCAACATTTTTTAAAAAAAATTGGGCGAGAGAGAAACTTTGTGCTGCATGTGGTTTAATGTGACATCCTTTTTGATTTTGACATCATTCATATAAAAGCTTTATGTTAAAGGGAAAAGGTTGAACAAATTTGACAGGTGATATTTGAGTACAATAAAACAATAACATTAAGTCAAACAATAACATTACGTTCTGCTCTGCTGTGAGACCCCAAACCACCTGCATGGCTACCTCACTTTCCCTAATGTTAGGGCCGGCCCTGCAACAATCAGCACTCTGGTTCCTCTAGGGTGAAGAGTATCTTCTAGGCTTCAGTACCAATTTAAGTGCTATCAATCAGGCTATTCTTATGTTCTTAATCCACGGTACCTCCAGGAAAATCTGGAAAGATGCACTATCTGAAACCATGGTGGCAGTCAGTGAAGGCAGTACAAAGCAAGATGGACTGTTGGTCTGACTCTGTATAAGGCAGCTTCCTATGCTATTTGTTCCTAAGCTCAGTAAAGCCTTCACATCCAAGTGATTTACTCTGCCTGAATGCCCCATTGTGGGAGGGGTAGGTGCCACTGGCCCTTCAGGAGGTGGCAGTGCATCCTACTTTCAAGACAATCTCTCTGGACCCAGAATTATTATTCATGGGACAATATTCCCCTTTGGGACAAAGTGTTCAAGAGGGTGGTGGTGTGCTTAGAAGAAGTGGGTTATCTGGGCCCATTACAATCCGGCTTCAGGCCTGGATACAGCACTGAAAGTGCTTCAGTCACCCTAGGTGGTAGCTTTTGTCAGGAGAGGGACAGGAGGACTGCAACCTTTTTGGTTCTCCTTGACCTCTCAGCAGCTTTTGATATTGCTTGTGGGATGTAACATAAGCAGTCAAGTACAACACTTCCTGTTAGCCCAGAGTGGACACACAGGGGGATGTTACTCCAGCCAGGAGGACTTCCTGTCACACCTGGTCTGGAGCATCCTCCCCCTGCGTGTGACCAGGTAGATGAGTGTGATCCTGTGAGACCCTGTAAAAGGGCCAGTCATGCAGCCATCTTCCTCTTTTGCTGCTTTCTTCTGATACTGATGTATTTTGCTGTCTGCTGGTTCTCAGCCAGCAGCACATGGGCTCAAACCTCTACATGGGATGAATCCACTCTCTTTTCTGTAACTCCAAGCTAAAAGCCTGCCTTCAGGGAACCTACTGTGAACTGAATGTAAGTAAACTTATCATTACTTTTAAAGAAGACTGTTGTGTTTTTATTCAAGAGGGATAAAAGGGGAATTTACCAGGATCAAGCCCAATCTGGACAAGTCAGATTGGATTGCTTAAGTAAAGAGATTCAAATGAATCTACCAACTAGCTTCCTGTTATATATTGGGGGATGTACTCTGTTACTGACTCACAAGCGTAAGTGAGGAAGGATAATATTTACTCAATATATCCTCTCCTACTATCCACAACATTCCCACACTGCTGACCACTGTATCCTCTTGGAGCAGCTCTAGGCATTGGAAGTTGGGGTACCGTGTTGACAGTTGTTCTCCTCCAACCTACAAGGCTGATTTCACAGAGTAAAGCTGGGGGGCAATTGCAGGTTGCTTTGGGAGCTAACCTGTGGGTTTCGCCAGGTGGCAATCTTGTTCCCCATGACTTTTAACATATATATGAAGCAATTGAGAATGATTAACAGGGGATTTGGAGTGAAGTGTCATCTGTATGTTGACGGCACTTAGCTCTATTGGACTGTTCTCTCTGAATCAGAGGAATCATTCTAAGGTGCTATATTAGATCAGAGCTTGGAAGAGGTAACGTGCTGGATGCTGACCAGTTAACTGAAACTGAATCTAGACAAGATGGAGGTACTGTATGTTGCAGCTTTTCAAATCTGGTTCATAGGGAGAAGGCCAGTTCTGGGCAGGGGTGCATTCTGCTGGAAGGAACATGTGTATAGCTAGGAGGTACTCCTTGATCCATCCAGCCTTGGTGGCTAGGTTCGTCAGCTACATCCCTTTTGGAATAGCGATAGCTTGGCAACAGTGATAAACTCTCTGGTAATTTCCAGATTGAACAATTCTACATGGGGCTGCCCTTGAAGATAGTTCAGGACCTGCAACTAGTGCAGAATGCAGAAGTAAGGCTTCTTCTGGGTGTCTCTGGCAAAACACAGATTACGTAGGTCTGGAAAGATGCCAGTTCACTACTGATGTATTTTATATACATCACTTATATGTAAGTGTTAATACTTATTACTTGGGCTGCAAATATCTGAAGCAGTGCCTCCCCCCCACCTGTTGACCTGTCCAGGTGTTAAGCTCAACAGAAAGGCCCTACACATACTGCCTCCACCTTCTTTGGTTGGAAGGGCAGCAAAGCACAAGAGGGCCTTCACTGTGGTGGCCCCAAGGTTGTGGAATAACCTGCTCTCTGAGGTGCACCATCATTGTATGCTTTTAGACAAGTGGTCAAGAGACACTTTTTTTACCCAGGCCTTTGGTTGATTGGATGCCTTCAACCTCCTGCACTGTTGCTGTGCACCGCTGCTCTGTTATTTGGATATTGGCTGTTTCTGTGCCATTATTTTGTGATTTAAATGTACATTGTACTTATTTTAATTGTGATTTTCTTTTGGTAGCACATCCTGGGACTTTTTGATGAAGGATACTTATATTTGCTATAAGTACAAAAAATATGTTAATAAACACAACACTTTTTTTAAAACTCAGAAAGTGCTGAATTCAAGCCTTTATTTAAAAGGAAGACTCTTTTGCTGCATTTGAAGGTGGGGTTGCACAGGAAATCCTCCTCTGCAGTTCAAGGTGGGGCTGCGAAGGATGACTTCCTGTGCAGCCCCGGAGTCCGTTTACAATGGCATAATGTCATAGGACATAAGGTGATTGACAGATGGGTGGCCTGGCTACCTTACAAAGTGGCCTGTGGTGGGTTAGAAGGTCAGCAAATAGCAGCAGTGTTTCGGTCACTTCCAGGAAGGCTGGGTCACTAAGGTACAAGTGGCTGCCAAGGCCTGTTTTGTTGACCTGTGAGCTTCCCATTTCCACCCAAGCTGGTCATTAGAAGAACCTTGTAATGATAATAATTTGGTGCCTGAATTTGCTTGTTTTCCTCTCCCATCCCCAGCCCTTTTTCCTTTTGTGTTCAATCTTTTTAGATTGTAAGCCCAAGGGCAATGACTGTGTTATTTTTTACTGATTTGTACGCTGCTCGGGGAGCCTTTCTGGCTGAAGAGCTGGACATAAATGCTTTGAATTAGTAAATGAATTTAAGATTTTGGTTTGGTTATTCTTATGCTCTTATTCTGCTGCTTTAATATTCAAATTCAAAAGATACTAGGCTATTTACATCAAATTA